TACAACTGAAGGTAGTGTACATAATTAAACTTATTAAACATAATAAATAAAACTTTAATGAATATTAAAGTTACATTAAATATTTTACAAATCAAAAGAAAAGAAAAAAATGCTAGTTTTAAAAATAAGCATTACGTATATATTTGAAAATAAACGTTATATATGTATACAAAATAAATATTTATATTTTATTAACAAGTTATTATTTATTTAATAAAATAATTATTTTCATTATTTAGAACATTTCTAAGCTATGAGCCTAGAAATGGCAGTTCTGGATTAAATTTAAATGAAATCAAAGAAAGCATCTCTCATTAGAAGAAAATAATGATTCTTTCTTGATGTCGTACGTATCATTACTCAAATGTTAGATTTTACAGAAATGAAAAAATGATAAATGTCAACCATCCATCATAAGATAAATTTTACTAAAGAAATAATTACACAGCTCAAAGAATAAACAAGATAAAGAATTCATATCTTTACTTATAAAGACAACTTACAAACAGTAAATGAGAGATGAATAATGTCAGATTGACAAAAATATAATTAAGGCATTTCATCATAGGTGGTTATTATTATTATTATTACATTTTGATTTTGATTTAGAATTTATAAGTGTGATTAAAAAAAAAGGTATGTATATACTTTTTTAAATATTGAAGAAATCATTTTAACAATTATGCAAAGAATATTTTAAAGATTTATTAACTGTCACTCCAATAAAGTTGGGGAAAACAACAGTATTCAGTGACAAGAAAAGACTTAAAATATGATAATATTGGAATGACACAAATAATATTGCACATCTTTTATATCTTGACATTTTTCATCTAATTTGTTATACGTACCATCTAAACAGAATTTAATGTCAAAAAAATTTTGTCGGCTTTAGATTAAGTATGAATATATTCTGGAGACGGTCATTTTGCTAACCACTAAACAATTATAAAATTACAAAGAAAATTAAATTAATTTCTATTTGTTTAATATAAAAAGTAGTTAAACAGCTTCTTCTCAAGCAAATCTTATAAATCTCACCATAACCAAATATTTGAATATCATTAAGACTATAAAGAGACAATAAGCTAAATTTATTAATTTTTGTTCAAAATTTCAAAAAAAAATATTCCAATCGAACAGTGTTACTTTGATATGTATTATTTCATGAAAATTTTACTGATTCTATGTAAATGATTCTTAATATTTAAATAATAAATATGTTCTAAGCTGGGGACACATGTACCGGTATACATGAACATCTGGATGACAGTTCTGTCATCTGTACATTCAGGTAACTGGTACGTGTGTACATGGCTCTAAAGGACAATTTAGCATTATTTATATAAAAGAATCTAATATAACCTTTTAACTATTTAATATAATTTATTCCACAAGTATTAAAAATGTTTTGGAATGAAATATTTTGACTTTGTTTAGATTTAAACAAATAGAAATAATTATAAATTAATATATCTCAACATTTCTAAATACACTTAGTTAAATGTAATGATCTTTATTCGTTATGTAAATAAAAAGATTTCAATACATTGAAAATGTAAAAGTACACTTTGCAGTTTGAGTTATTTTTTTTTTAATAATTGCAATTATTATTAAAAATAATTACCTTCAAATTAAAACAGAATCACAATTAACCTGGAACTATTTAACCAAAGTTCTCATTTTTATCTAGGGTGAATTATAAATGTTTAGTCCATAAAAAAAGAACACAGAACAGTATAGTTCATTTCAAAAATCTTACTCATGCAATGTCTAGTACTATGTCAGTATGTTTTAAAAAAAATTTACTCTAGTGACTTCTCACAATAATACAAATTTTAAAAAATATTAAAGAAAGGTTAATATAGTTATAAAATACTTAATTTTATTTATTTTATAGTCATTTAATAGTCATTATGTACAATAAGTAGATTTAAACTAGAAATATAGTACATTGTATGTTAATGCATACAAATCCAGTTTATTTAATAAATTACCAAATATTCCATTTTATCAAAATATTTCATTATTCAAGGTATTTTTAGTCCATATTATCCTGGATAGTTAAAACTCTACTGTATTTGCAATTTATGCCCTGACTGAATTTAAATTTTGATTTTAAGTTTCTTTGAAAAGTACTAAAAACAGATCTGGAGCATTACAGATGTAAGAACATAATGTTTTATTTTTATCATAATACTTCCATATTAAATAGATATCCACTAAGGATATTTCAAGTTTTTGATATTTATGAGATTTCAATAATTTCTAAAAAAAAAATATTGTAAAAAGAAGAATTAAAAGAATGTTATGCAATTATAAAAAATGTAAATAATATTAATCTAAATACAGGCATGCAAAATGAAATGCTGCAATAGTTTCATAAATATAAATGTGTAAACTGATTGTTAATGAATAGTTGTTGTTTGTTGGCAGATAAATTGTTTTAAACTTGTGTAATGAAGAGAACACGATACAAGTTCGAAATTACAATGTTTCTATTAAAGCTTTATGTAAGTCATACTTTATGTATTTTATTTTGTTACAACTGAAGAGAACTATTTATAGCCAAAATGCAATTTTTAACAACAAGCGGAATAATAAATATGTGTAATTGGTAAAACAGTGCATCAAGATTTTTAATTTATTGCTGGAACCACACTTGGACTTATAAAATGGCTGTAGAAAGAGAAATCCTAGTAGACACCTATTTAATACAATAATATTACAATAAAAATAATATTTACCTAGCCACCCTTAGAAAAGATTAGAATTCTTTTATGATTTTAATATATAATTTCTATAATTTAATACATTCTTAATTGGACTATACTCTTAAATCATAATTGATTAATTAAAAGCTTATATAATGCATTAAATCATTGCTTTAAATAAAAATAAATTAACACTAAACTTTTATTTTTCAATAATTAATACGTTATTCACATTTTTTAAAGTCATACTGTACATTAAATGTATAAAAAAGTACTGTTTTAAGTACAAAATAATTTATATGATCTAATATTTTCATGTATTTGTGCATCCATTAATTTATGATAAATAGAATATACTGATCCATTGAATCATATAATATTTAAGTTTAAAATTCTCTACTTTAACAGGCTTGTTTTCTCTTTTCTGATTATAACAGTATTTCTTAATGATGTGAATACCTGTGTTAAAGTAATTGGATTAAGTGGAAATATTTTTTTTGTCATGGAGCAAGTTTGTAAACTTTTAAACCTAGACAGCATATTGTAATGAACATAAAAATACATTACTTTCAAGAAAAAATTTTAGATATGTTTATGTCCATTTTCTAAAATACTTTAATATTAAATTTTTATAAAATTTAACTACTAATTTAATTATAAGTATAAATCAACAATCCTCCTTCTACATATTATTTCAAAATAATTAAATAATAATCTAATTTTTGTTATAAAATTACTTCAAATTTAAGCTCAAATATATTCCATGAGATTATTAAAGAAGAGTCACTTAAAATTTTTCATTTTCAATTATTAATTGCATTATTAGCAGATTTAAATTAGTATCACCTTTTTATTTCTTAAATAAATGAAATATTTTGCTTTTCCTCTTAAATTTGCATCAATCATTACCTAATACACTAGAACTACTTTAATATCTCATAATTAAACTGAATGGTTTGATTAATGTTAGGATCAAATGATTAGAGATGTTCACTGCTAACTAAAGTTAAATAAATGAAAAGACATTTTATTTATACAAGAAAATAAATAAAATAATTGAAGAATACTTCTATTGATCATTATTTTAAAAATTAATTAAAATTCCACACAAAATTTGGAAAAAAGAAACCTATACTTTTAATCTGACACAAATGCAAGAAAATAATTTTGATATTACAGAATTATATATATTCACATCAAATATATACAATATACTCATAGATAATTTTTTGAATATTTGAAAATGATACTAGAGTTCATCAATAGTTTTAAAAATATTGCAAGATAAAATTTAAAATAATATATATAATTTTATAAAAATCTCATAGAATTTGATTTTAATATACATATATCATAAATATAAATAATTTTCTAAAATTTTAATTTATTTAAGGAATCTAAATGAATAAGAATAGTCTCAAATCCATTAGAATATTTGATAAATTTATAAATTCTAGAGTGAATACTTTGGTAGTCAAATTTACAGATGTAAGAAGACATTCTTTAAAAAAGTTAAAATTTGTGAACTATAAAAATAAGTAACTAAATCTATTATCACATTAAAAATATTTAAAAAATTTAATTCAACATATTCTATAATTTCTAATAAATATAAAAACTTTAAAAAATATGTAACAAAATTCAATAAAAATAATAATGACGACGATCACCTTTTCTACAAAAACTAATACATCATATTACATTTAACACAAATACAAACCTATAATTTAACACAAAATTTTTAAAAACAATACATCATGATGTGTCCTCCACCCTTCATTTCCAATTATCCAATGAAAGTTAATGGGCGGATTTAAAGAACACATTTGTTGATGGTTATATACCTTTACTCTTACTTTTCCTATACAAATTTCATTACACCGACTAGAATATAACAATCTATGGCACACAAGTAATCCTTCAAAAATATACACATTAATCAAATTTTCAAAGAGAAAGAAAATATTAACACAAAAGGAGACAATAGTTTTACCAATAAAATCTTAACAATTCCAAACGACACCAATTTAATTTAACTAAATTTACAATATTGTAATTAAAATTATACTTATATCATGAAGCACAGAGTTTAATTAATGATATAGCATATAATGCCATAAAATAATTTACTTTACTATATTTATTAGCAAAAATCTAATGTAAGGATCAATTTTTAAATATATATATTTTTTTCCTATATTAATGATTGCTTTTTATTTAATTACAGTTCATTTAACTTGTATATTTGAAAAATGTATATAAATACATTCTTTTTATGTTTCTTGACTGATATTTCTCATTTAAAATAAAAATATTTTATTTATAAATTAGTTTACAAATTATATAAAATAAGGAATCTTATAATAAAAATATAAATAGGAATTGTTAAATTTAGAAATTTTATAATGCCCTACTCAATCTTCAGCAAGTGGAAGTGTTATGAATCTTAACATGTCAGATAAATTTCCAATTCTACAGTTTGCTATAATTTCAAGATCTTTGAGCATTCTGTATGAGTAAACCTGACATAGATATCAGAAAGACATTTCAGGTCGTTGGTTTTCTGGAGGTACTTCCGAACTTTCACCACTTATGTTCAAAAGAGAGACCACCTATAAAATTTAAGTATTATAAAAATAAAAAACTAAAATTAACTTTTAAAATTAATTATTAACACTATATAATTAATATTAAAATTTTAGCATTCTATTCTTTATATTTAAATTAGAAAAAATTAATTTATGCATAACTGAAAGTAATTTATAAATTTTACATGTAAAATTATAATTAAATGAAATCAAAAGCTACCCAATTCCATTCATTTATATTAAATATTTTGCTACATTTTCAACATTAGGTCTACATAAACTATATAAAGAATGTTCATTAATTTTCATTTCTAAATTGAAAATTTTTAACTTTCTGAATTTTTCAAACAAATCTTTAAAAAAAATTAAATCTTTCATAAACTAGGAATTCCCCTGTCAAGCATGACAGAATACTTTTTTACAAGAAAGTAGAGATTGAAGAATTGAGAAGAGTACAAATTTCAAGAAATTCGAGAAATGTTGTTAATATAAACTTTTAAATATTAATTTGCAGAAATACTATCATCACTATAACACTTACATGCAGTGGCGTTACAGGAGTGGAGTCCTGAACACAGAAATTTATCCTACTTTTGGAGAAAGCTCTTATCCGCTAGCACTTTCAGTAGTGTAAAACTATCATCATCAGGCAGTACATAGAATACGATAGTTTAAGCTTTCCAAACGATATTCCAACGGTTGTACAAATTTCAATATCGAATATTTTGAACAATATTTCTGACAGTTCAGCTGATTATGGTTTTAGAATGTTATTTAAAGGTTCTTACATCATAGTGCGTAGATAAGAATGATAATAAATAAAATATCATAGTGAGAAATGGCCGTAAAAGAGCTTAGTTCATGCATGTAGTGCGCACCAAAGCAAAATAAGCATATGAACAACAAAGGAGTATTAATATCTTGGGTTGAGTTGTTTCAAAGCTGTTATTTAAATTTATGGGAGCTTGAAAGTTGGGGAGTTGCACGGTGTGGTAGTAGAAATGTAATGTGTCTCCCAAATAAATAGCTTTTTTTGTTCATTACAGCATTTCAGTAATTTTATTTCGTTCCATAGAGGCTGGTAGTTGTAGTCAAGTACTTTCTTTGCTAATTCTGTAACTGGCCTGTTATTTTTGATGTCTTCTTGATGTTCATGGATACATTAACTTAATTTTCTGGCAGTAGCCCCCACATAACTAGTTTCTTCACCAGATACTGTGTGCTTTAGCAGGATTTGCTAGACACCAGATTTTTCATTCCACTGATACTTAACCCTATCATTACATAGCAGTCTTCTTAGATTTGATTGCGGTGTAATTGATAGAATATAACCATTACTTCTAAAAAGAAGTGCAATTAAAAATATAGGATCTAAGTAGGGTTTTGGGAGATGAACTATTTTTAAGTTTTCTTGATTAGAAAGAAAAGATTGTGGAAATAAACTGTTTTTTACATGATTTTTAAGAAAAATGAATTTTTAGTGCGAGTAACCTGCTTTTAACATGGTAGACAGAATAATGGCTAATTCATCTTCTACTAGCACCTGAGTAGAAGGGAGAAGGTAAGTCCTCCATATTAGCGAAGATATAGCAGAGTTTTTGTAATATGGTGGTTGGTAAGCAGTGGCTGGAATGATTTGTGGAACATTATTATTTCTATGATGGACAGAGAATATAAGCTCCGGAGATGTGTGTATATCTAAGTCTAGGAAAGATATTCTATTGTTTTCTTGCTCTTTGACAGTAAAATTAATTATAGGATAAATAGAGACTAATATTTGAGTATATTGAAGCAAATTCTCATTGGAACCATCCCATGCAATTAACACGTCGTTGATGTACCGTAGATACATAAGAGGATATTGGATCATTAAAGGGGCATTGAAAACCCAATGATCTATATTTCTCATGACCAGTTCAGCTAGAATAGGAGATAATGGGGAGCCCATTGGCACCCATTGTGTTTGTTTATATATTTTTCCATTAAATTGGAAATAATTATTAAAATAATAAGGCGAAGAGCTTCAAGTAGGTGTAAAATATGTGATGCTGGGTAACTAGAATTGAGGAATAGGGTATTTGCCAGCATGATGGCCTCGAAATACGGAACAGAAGGATATAAAGAAATAACATTGACTTTGTAAAATCGGTAGGAACTGGAGGGGAGGTTTCTTAATTTTTGTAAGATGGTAAATTTGGCTTCAGTGGAGGCTGAAGTTACAAACTCAGAGTGTGGGATTAAGGATGTGATATGTTTTGCTAGTGCAGCTTCAAGACGGTACATGGGATGGGAACGTTTGTTGACCAATGGTCTTAGACGCCATGATGGTTTATGGGTTTTGGCCTCAAAAAATAATCTGGGGCATGCCATTTAATTGGAGCAGCCACTTAATTGGGCCAAAATGGATTAGTCCCAACATGTTCCAATTAAGCAGAATCAACTGTATTTGAAAATACCGTACTTCACAAGTATTTGAAACACACACAATAAATCATTTGAACTATTTAATGGAAGGTGTTTGAATTGCTTAAAAATATGGCATTCACTTACAGCAAACTCGCTTCCATGGAGAAGGAAATGGAAGCAGACAGAAATTGTACAAAAAGTCGGGACAGCTCATACCCTCCTATATGACAAGAACATTGTCTACATAATACAAATATAGAAACGAATAGCAAATAGTGAGTCAGAAAATAAATATTTTAAACTCTATCAAGGTAGCTCACATGGGAGCCCATTGGGATCCTATACTTTTGTAAGTAGATGTTACCATTAAAGCAGAAGTAATTGTTTTCAGTAATGAACAAGAAAGTCTCCCATATATCCAAAACTTGTTACAGTAGAACCTCGAAAACTCGGCTCTCGATAACCCCGGATAACTCGGCCACACCCTGGCAGGGCAAAAAAATCCTTAGTTAATTAATTTTCATTATAGACAGCTTTATAAAAGTATAAAAGCTCTCATAAAGTATTTTTCTGAGGTCTGTCTTATCAGGTAAATTACTGTACACAGTGTATTCATTAATTTTCATTTTCATGTAGTAAAGGCTCTATGCCTTCATAAAGGACGTACTTTTCCTTTGTTTAAGGGTATTTGGGCAGTTTATTCTCTGTTATATTCTCAAGTAAACAATACATACAAGTACAGTACAGTATTTTCTGAGGAAACACTCGTACTTATTTTTTTTAACCCCATTCCCGATAACCCGGCATTTTCACAAACTCGGCCACCCTTCGGTCCACATTAGGCCGAGTTTTCGAGGTTCTACTGTATACAGTTAAACCTTTTACGAGGAGAAGGGTATTATCAAGCATGATTGTCTGAAAATACAAAATGGATGAGTATAAAAACACTACATCTAATTTAAAGCAGCAGTATATTTTTGAAGATAATGAACTGATAGCCCTGATGATGGCAAATTTAGCCTCCAAGGATGTGTGGGTGACTAAGTACGATTCTGGGATTAACAACAAGAATCCTTTAAGATGCAGTCTTTTTACTTAAACTTCTAATGTTTTTAGCCAGTTGACAGACCTTCAGGAAACATTGAATAATTCTGATTTTCTGGGATTAGAGAACCAATTTTCTTGGAGAGAGCTTTTTCCAAGAAGTAGGTAGGATGGGATTGCTTCTTTACTAAAGATTGCAATGGCCACCCTAGCTGGTGTGTTTTTGACTCAAAGAACAATCTAGTGTACATGACATTGGAAGGAGGATCAAGTGGCCCAGGTAAAGTTGATGCAATAGTACATAGAGCCACAATTTTCTTGCTTTTGTTAGTACCCTATGGGTGGAATCTTTGTTTAATAAAACAATCAGATTGGCACAGAAACTCATTAGCTTTAAGCAGGAAATTCTTCTCTTCACAAAGTACTGTACAAACTTCTTATCTTTGTCTGAAATGAGGAGTCTTAAGTCATTGTCAGTAAGAAATTCAACAGTTCTATCATGTACAGTGCAGAGGAAGCCTGAGTCACTGGAATGATGTAGCACAGGGATGGGCAACCTGCGGCCTTCGGGCTGCATGCGACCCACAGTAATATTTTTTGTGGCCTGTGTAAAATATGAATAAATATATCAATTTCCCAGATTAAGGAACTTTGCAGCAAAAATTCAAATTTTATTTTCTACAACTTATGTATGTGAATAGTTTTTCCACAATGAATTTAGTAAAAATTAAAGCAAAAAACCAACTAACAGATACATCAGAACTAATTTAAATCTAGCAGTGACTAATATTTAAACAAATATTTCTGACATATTCCATTTACATCAGTTCTAGAAGCTAAATTAAGTATACCTATTATAATTTATAATTATATATGAATAAATAATTGTGATTTACTGGCATTTTCCATCTCTTTTCTCTTGTATGCGACCTGTGTCAGTTCAAGTTTCAAAATGCGGCCCTTACATAAAAAAAGGTTGCCCATCCCTGATCTAGCAGACATGATTTGTGTAAAGATAGCAAGTTCCAATTGAGATTGCAAGTCCATATGTTGACAAGCTTTGAGAGCTGCCAAGGAAGCTGGCATTAGTTGGCCCAACTTTGTTTTAGCAGGAGGGATAAACTTATGGCCTTGTTGTAAAATCTGATAAACACTCCTTGGAACCACCTTTCCATAGTAGTAGCAGTAATATGGAATGTTGATTTCATTTCCATGCTTGGGATGAGAAGAAAAGATTAACCAATGAAGTTAGCTGTTTTTTAACCAAATGTTAACCATTTTAAATTTGAATTTCTTTTTGCATATTGGTTCTATTATAGAATGATTGTAAACATTCCAGAAAATTGATCAAATTGAAAACAGTTCATATGATTCTCAGCAATTCTCATCATTATCAGCTGTAGGTGTTATATAAAAATTACCATGGTTGTTGAAATACTGAATATAAATGAGGTTTGCTTACAAAATCCGCGCGAGCAAAGTCGCGGGTAACATTAGAGTTCTTAATAAATAAATTCCAAATAAATACAACCACCAACATCAAACATTGTTTATTTCAAAAATATTCAAAACCTAATCTTGATACCCATCTTTACTAGTTATTCTTTTTATGCAACTAAAATTAACAAGATTAAAACTTGGCCATGTCTAACAATCTGAAGTTGCATTATGTAATCAAACCTTAATTTTAATAGAGTTAAATTCAATTTTTAAAAATATCATATAAGAGTTTATTGGCAATTTTTTGTGTTTATTTTCAGAATATAATATTTAAACTAAGCCTTTTATAATGCTTCAACTTATAATAGAATCCTTTTAAATTTTATATGTTAGAAACACTGAAAATAATGATACTTTTTTTTAGTATTTTATTTTTCTATATCATATATTATGCATTAGTTTTAAATTCTATAACAGTAGCCAACTTATGTAAATAATAGATTGGGTCATTATGTTTTATATAAATTTTTATTTCTTTTAGTTGAAGTTTTATAGTCAGTTTAATTATACAGGTGGGACAAAAGTCACTTTACCATTTTAAAATGAAATAATGTTTTACTTTTAATTATTTTATATGTTTCTTTTTAACATTATAATGTACACATCTTGGGATATTTTTTTTGGCCAAAATATGAATGATAACATTTTTTAAATGCCTCTAACATTTTCCACTTCACAAAGGCAAGCTCTTTCTATGGTAAAGTGACTTTTGGCTCACCCTGTATTCAAAACATCATTAGAAATTTTAAGAATGAAGAATGTATTGAAATAGTATTGAAGAGATGATATATCATTTTATGTGGGTAAATTTACCATTTCACTTAATATGATTATTAATTTGATTATGCATCAATAAATTAACAATTCAGTTAATTCCGTTTTAATTATATACAGTCGACCCCCCTATAACACGGGTTCCTATAGTTCAGATTCCTATATGATGGTGAAAAAATTGTGATGATATCCATACATGGAAAAACTCCTATAATTCAGTAAAACGTCATCGGGCAGCCGACCTACTTTCCACCATCCAGCGCCACGCTACGGAGAGTTTAGGTGGTAAATTGTGTTTACTATCGTCTGTACAGTATTACATATAAATTAGGTACTGTATATATAATTATATATTAACTTAATTTATTGTAACTTTATTATAATTATACATATACTTTCCGCCGTCCAGTGCCACGTTACGGAGAGTTTAGACGAGTAAGTTGACTTTACTATCGTCTGTACAGTATGTAAATTAGGTACCATAAGTCTAATACAGCACTAATTTTATACATTTCTTATTCAACGGCCATAAAAATTATTTCTGTTAATGATGTCTCCAAAGTTCAATGAAGTTTTCGCAGAAAAATAACTTATCAGAAATTGCGCCTGCCATTTGGTGCGCTGCTCCGTGACGTAAACAAGCTTAAGCAATGGCGATGTTGAACAGTGCACACTCGGTAAGTAATCCTACAATTTTTTGTTTATAGCATAGTTTATACGGATTATTCCCAAAAAAATATACGTGTTTTGGAAATGTTAAGTCGAATTAGTCTAGAAATCAATTAATTTTATGGAAGAAAACCTTTCAAACAGCCGTAGTCCGTAAACTTCACACGTGTCGGGCTGTGATTGGCAAGGTCTCCTAAAACATCAATTTCATAAAAAACGGAACGTATCTACCGTCTTATAGGGGGGGTCGACTGTAATTATGATGAAAAATAATTACTAAAAATATAATTAACTTAACAATAAAACATTCAATTTTAATTGTAGTTTTTAGATTAACAAAGACAAGTCTATTTTCTTATTTTATACTATAATATTAATGAAGAGGAATTAAAAATATCCAACACACACATCACAATCATATTATTACTATTATTAAATTATTTTCATAATGGATGGGGTGATGGTGGTGGAAGTAGTAATAGTCTTGTAATCATACATAATTATTTTTATAACACTACTTTATAATTAATTAATGATTAGTAGTTATGCAATCTCTTGAACTACCTTAGCTTGTATACTATGCCTCTGCTTTCTTGGAGATCAAAAATTAAAAATATCATAATAGACTAGACAGAGAAGTATAATTATTATTATTTTTATATAAAAAATATCAAAATTACTTTATAAAGCAATTATTTTACCTGTTTGAATTTGGCTCGGATTTTTTGTAATCGTTCTGTGGATTCTTCTTCATGCATACTTGTCTGAGAAAAATTTTTTGTCATTTCTAACAGTGACCTTAGAGCAATTAGCTTTCTATTAAATAAAAAAGTTAATTATAAATATCCTTAAAATAAACTAAGTGAAAATAGATAAAACATTCATAAGTTAAATTTTGCTATAATTTCTTGTGGATAACCCATGAGATCTGTGTTTAAAAGTTAATTTAAAAGTAGATATGGGCTATTTGATAATATGAATAATCTACCAATTTTAACTCACAATTATAAATTTCATCTAAACCAGGATTTCCAACCTCTATCATGTATCAATCTTTTAAGAAATATTTTATCATCAATGCCTTTACACACACAATTAGCATATTTTTAATAAATGTTTTTGACAAGACTATGTCTTGTTTATAAAATTGTACTAACTGCTGTGTTACCAGCTTAGAGGTATGAAGGAGTACATGTCAGGAAATGCAATTTGGCACAGAGTATTAGGTGCACAAATCATGTGCGCGTAAAAAAACCAGACTTATAGGTACTCGGGACCAAGAACAGAGTCAAAATAAAATACAAAATGATGACTCTCTCTACAAACAGGAAAACCAAAGTCAGGTGGTGAGAGCACCACCCACAGGAAGAGAACTCTGAACCTAGGAAATGAACTCTGACCCTAGGACTGGACACACAAAATTTTCTTTGTTAAATAAAATTTGTAATCTAATTTTGTAAATTTGGGAGTGCTTCAAATATCACATTAAAACAGAGTTTTATGTTGTTACAAGTAGGTTTTTTAACACTATCTAGTATACATAGCCCTCAGTTTACGCTGCAGTTCCGTTCCTGCAAAAGCCAGTGCAAATCGAATCAGTGTAAAATGAACCCATATTTACAGTGAGGTGTAGGGTTAGATTCTACATAAGTGAAAAATAAACAAATAATTTTGTTTATTAATACAATATAATATAAAATACATTTTAAAAATTAAAAAAATTATATGTATTTTATCATAAAATAAAGTGAAATGTTTTTATTAAAAAATTTTATTTTCAGATCTCTTACATTTTTCGGAAAAAAGTATCCATCTTTAATTGCTTACATTTTTGTTTTCTTTCATTGAGAATTTCGGAACATGGTTGAATGGATGCGATGATGTTTTTACATTTGCACTTCGCTCCCAATTATTGTCTAACTCACAAAGTTCATCCGTCAAACTTTCCATAGTTGAAAGAATACATTAACCTGACGTAGGAGAGCGGAGACACTGATTGGGTCGACCACCGGTTGCCGTAGCACATGTATAAGGTCAGTTTGAGCAGGATAATTCAAGGTGGCTAAGGAGTGATAGATATCGTCTGGCTAATAAAAAAAGTATTGGCTGGCCAACGAGAAGTAGATTTGTCTCACTAACAGTAGTTTGTGATCGCTGGAAGTGCTACTGCATCGTAAGGTGTTTTCCTGAATAAACTGATACGAGATACATTCATTGGCACTATGGATTTGGACTCCATTTATTGCACTATTAAGTTTGATAACTTGACTCGTGGGTACCTAAACGTTTAGTGTTTTAATATTACTTTAATGCAAATGTATATATACCCAATAATATTAAACAGAAAAACTAAATATATTCAATAAAAATCTTTGTTTTAATGAATGTGCAATGTCATGGCTCGGTAAATACGTCAACATTGAAATGAAAATCAGTCTGGAGAGAAAACTGGGAAATTACACCGCAAAACGGCAAATTGCTTAGTGGCGTTATTGTGAATCGGCGTAAATTGAGCCGGCATAAACCAAGGGCTACCTGTATAGTAAAATTGTGGGTGGGACAGATAAAAATTTGACATTATATTAGGGTTGTTGTTACATCCAGTGACATTATAATCAGGTTAAACTGTATATTGCTTTTGCAAAATAAAAAAATAATTTCAGACGATACAATAACCACAATTATTTTTCAAAAATGGGAAATTTTCATTATGCATCGACAAAAATTCAACCCGGGCCAACACACAACAGAGAGAAATTTTGAAATTGGATAGGTTAATTTCATCGAAAATGCATCGTGGACGGCCTTGTAGTCCTGGCCGGCAAAGTTTGAACAATTGCGCCCAAAAGCAGCGATAACAAAGAATGAGAACAAGACCCACCTTGAGCATCAAAGTTATTCCACTTAGTAGTGAGTCTCCGAGACATAGTCTTGTCCCAAATACAGTTTTGCCGTTTTACTTGTTATATATGAAAAGTTTTGAAAATGATAGTGAAAAATATTTTCAAGAATTTTTAAATGATTGTATTAGTAAGTAATTTAACAATATTAAAATAATATATTCATCGTCTTTATTGACTGTATCTAAAAGTAAACAAAGCCTGAGGCAAGTCACGTGACTGGACCTATTTCAACTTCCAGTAGAACATGGATGGTGTGTTAATAGTCGATGCGAAAGACCTCGTGTGTATCAGTCACAATCATTTCTGTTCCAAAAAATGTCCAGCGAATATTATAAAGGTTTAGATGAATTAAGCAGGCATAGGTATAAGCAAAAATTAATGTTCAACAAGCAAGAACTGCCCAATCCAATGGACGACAATTTAGCAAAAATGTTATTTCATGATAACATGAAAGCATGGCCTAAGATCATGTTAGTGGATCTCTATGCCTACTTTGTAGATCAGCTCTGCTTTTACACAAAACAACAAGTGAAAAATTATACTTCACTTGAGTGTTAGTGAGTGGAAAGGTGAAAGAAATCACTGTTTACCCGTTGACAGATCTGAAGGTAAGAATTAAATTTGCTACTTTAGCACCTGTTGCAAAACAAGTTAGAGTGTGAAATCTTTATTTATAATGTTTAGTAAATTTAAAATATACATAAACAAAAGATAATTTTTCATAGCTAAAGAAATTCTGAAGACTAACCTCTTGTTTCACAACCCATGATCTCGAGTTTGTAAACAACTGCCTAAAACATTTTTTCCCTAGATTTGCATGTTAAAAGGAAAAATAGTCTGGGCAGAAGAAAACATTTCAACATCCCTGCACAGTGGTGCAAATTAATACAGTAGAACCTCGAAAACTTGGCCTAATGTGGACCGAAGGGTGGCCGAGTTTGTGAAAATGCCGGGTTATCAGGAATGGGGTTAAAAAAAGATAAGTATGCGTGTTTCCTCAGAAAATACTGTACTGTACTTGTATGTATTGTTTACTTGAGAATATAACAGAGAATAAACTGCCCAAATACCCTTAAACAAAGGAAAAGTACGTCCTTTATGAAGGCATAGAGCCTTTACTACATGAAAATGAAAATTAATGAATACACTGTGTACAGTAATTTACCTGATAAGACAGACCTCAGAAAAATACTTTATGAGAGCTTTTATACTTTTATAAAGCTGTCTATAATGAAAATTAATTAACTAAGGATTTTTTTGCCCTGCCAGAGTGTGGCCGAGTTATCCGGAGTGCCGGGTTATCGAGAGCCGAGTTTTCGAGGTTCTACTGTAGCATTATTGTAAACCGTCACTGCACATGTATGGCTGGGTATGCAAATTTTATATTAATATTAGATTATTATTATTATTTACTGACCAAGATATAATTTTAGTCTTGGTGAAAGTTGCAGCCACCTTGGTGCATTACTTTTAACAATAGAAGCAACACTGAAAGCTAATGAAGAAACTCCATGCACTTCTCTTTCACGTTCACGGAAGAAATTTAACAGAGAGGTAATAATGTTCTGTAATGGTACCATTATTAAGAATCATTACGTAAACCGTTTTTACTGTGTAATTTTTATTAAAATTATTCATTTACATAATGTAGGTTGAACCAAGCCAAATTTCAAATATTTGTTTTTCAAAATCAAAGCATAATAATCCATTCCTACCAAACAAAAAACAGATATATTATCACATCCTCCAACTCCAACACTGTTGGATCAGAAATTTTTCCTGGAATCTCTGAAGGTAATTATATATTTACAAAATATAACTAATGTCTTTATAACTCTATCAGTTATGATTTTTACTAAAGATAGATTTATGTTGTTGTTCATGAATCAGGCCACTGGTAAAAAAACATCAATCATAGAAGTCACTCTGTCTGAAAGTGATGAAACAGAAACAGCCAGCGAATCAGAATTTGACTTAGCACCAAACGAACAGTCACCTGAACCATCAATTATTCATAAAGTTCTGTGTTTCAAGGATGTTTCATTATCACGTACTGAACTTGAAAACAAACTCATCAACGAAATCAAGTTAACAAAACAGGAAATTCAGTTAGTGGAATCTCAAACTAGAAATCAAGCAAATGAGGATTTGTGGTGGAAGTATCGAAAAGGAAGATTAACTGCATCTCTGTTTGGTCGCATTCTTAGATGTAAAACCGCACACAAAAGCATTGTAAAAGATGTAATGCAGTATCAAGAGGAACTACATGTCAACAGCATTGAATGGGAGAAGAAGAATGAGTCAGTAGCAAAAAGCTTATTTGTACAAAGAATGTTACCACTGCACTCAAATTTTCAGCTTAGCAGTACTGGTCTGTTTATTGATGAGGCACAGTCATTTCTTGCAGCAATACCAGATGGTCTTGTTACCTGTGACTGTTGTAGTTCGGCACTATTAGAAATAAAGTGCTTATGTTCTAAGAGGCATTTCAGTGTCAGAGAAGCTAAGCCAGAATTTCTAGATGAAAATTTGCAGCTCTGTGAAGAACATGAATATTACACACAGATACAAGTACAGATGAGGATTGCAAAAGTCAAGAAGTGTTTTTTGTATGTTACAGTGCTAATGATGTACGTGTACAAAAAATTAATTTTAATCTGGTTTTCTAGCAACATATAGTGCAAAAAAACTCATCATTTTACTTCAATTACATAGTAACTGAAATATTTTCAGAATCTGTTAAAAAAGAATTGTTGTTAGTTAGAAACACCTGTTTATGTAAGGGAATGAAATCGGGAACTGTGATTTTGTGTAGTATGTGCGAATGTGCTTTTCATATTAAGTGTGTAAATTAGTCTAGAACAAAACAAAACTGAAAGTGTGAATCATGCAACAGCAAATAAATAAATGAAC